GTGATGTCTCCTCACTGCACATTATCTCAGCAACGGCGGAAGAATGCTTTTCATCATGTGCCCTTGCTCGAACACTTCCTCACACGCCCAGACGACTGGTGCTCACGTCTCCAGCAAGACATCAGAGTAACTATGACGTGAAGTCTCCTCACAGCACATTGTCTCAGCAACGGCGGAAGAATGCTTTTCATCATGTGCCCTTGCTTAAACACTTCCTCACCCGCCCAGACGACTGGTGCTCACGTCTCCAGCAAGACATCAGAGTAACTATGACGTGATGTCTCCTCACTGCAAATTGTCTCAGCAACGGCGGAAGAATGCTGTTCATCATGTGCCCTTGCTCAAACACTTCCTCACCCGCCCAGACGACTGGTGCTCACGCTCACGTCTCCAGGAAGACATCAGAGTAACTATGGCGTGATGTCTCCTCACTGCACATTGTCTCAGCAACGGCGGAAGAATGCTTTTCGTCATGTGCCTTTGCTCGAACACTTCCCGACTGATTTGCAGCACCCGCTGGAAATTCGAGCTCGGTCTCCCGCAAGAGGGCAGTATAGCTATGATGTGATATCTCCTCGCTGCTTGTTGTCTCAGCAACCGCAGAGAAGCTCTCGTGGGACATAGGAGATATCATGTGAAGGTATCCTCTCCTACGCCTTTGTTGGAGCACCGGCTTCACAACACACCACTGCGGCATTTGGCAGCGGAACAGCACCGACAGCGGAGCTGCATCTCAGACAGAAGCGTGCTTCTTTCCACTCTTTGCTGCAATGAAATTCCACATTCTGAAAACTCCGAAGATCTGACAGAATACAGGCCCTTGGCCGAACAGATGAGAGCCGGAGCGTTAAGAAAAAGAGACACAAACTCCGATCCCGGCCCTCGCTGAATCAGCAATTTTCTCCCTCGGACACTTGGAGGCCCAGGGGACTTAGAAAGTAGGTTGTAAGTAGGGTCATAATTGGGGTAACTCCATTTAGGGTATATTGTAACTCGACAACCTGATTAAGGCCTTTAAGCATCCCTCAGCTAAGCAAAGGCCGAGTCCTGCACATGCCAGTCAGATGACCCAGTGCCTCGGCTCAAGGAGACCGTAGCAAGGAAGGCAGAGGGCGTTTCAGCGGAAGGCTTGCGGTAAGCTGCCCTGCCTCCTTCCTTCGCTTCCTCGCTTCCTCCCTCCGGCCCTAGTGCACTCCTACATGGGTAGATGGTAGATGCCGCCCACCAGACGTCTTATCGATGGTCGGCATCACGTCTCTTTCCGTTCGTGACGATGACTTTTGTTGAGCTTGCTTCCGGGTAGGAAAGCCCTTTGCTTCTTCCATTCCGACTCTGGCAATCCAGCACTCTCAAAAAGAAATTGACCGGGGAGCTGGCTGTGCGGAAGAGGGCACGCAGACAGTTGGAGCCACGAACCTCGGTGGCAGGGAAGGGAAGAGAGGTCTGCTTGACCTGTGTGTGTCAGATCAGTCAAACTCGCCGGCTACTGTGCAGTGGGTTCGGCTGGTCACCAGTGCCGCAACAGCAACGCCAACATTCTTACCACAGACACTCCTGTCAAAGACACTTTAACATTTCAGAACTATGACAATGATAATGGGTGGCAGTAGGGCATCATCTGGTGGGTCAGCTCGCCTCATTGCAATTTGCACTCTGAACAGCCTGGGGCCAACGCCAGTGCGACATCACTCTGCGCATCATGGAAGACCTGCTGCTGGCACATGATATCATGCAGAGCAACCCTAACCGCATAGTTTGCAGCTGACCCGATCACCAGATGAAGACAGTCTCAAACCTCGAAAATTCTACAGCATATCTGGAATCTGAAGCCCCACACACGTAACTGCGCCTCTGCCCCGAAGAAGAAGAGGCTCTCCGCTGCACTGTCAGCCTCTTAACCGCAGGCGAACGTATTCTTCTGCATCTTTGGTGGTGTTCAACCGCCTTTCAGGATGCTCGCACCCGCGTCTGTTTACAAGAGGAAGGAAGGTCCCTTCTTCCTCGCATGCGAAGGCGCTCCTGCCCGAAACTCTCTCTCTCTCTCTCTCTGTTTTGCTTTGCTCCGGGGTGTGAGCGAGAGTGTCTCTCTTCTTCAGCAGGGCGTGGCAGGCGTGCGAGGCCCCCCGGCCGCATGGGCCCCCCATGTGTTATGGGGCTTTTGGTAAGGGCGTCAGATTGACAACGAGTCCCCCTGACATAGTAGGTAAGCTTGTAATTACAAGTAAGCGGGGTCAGGGTTCCTCAGTTGTATGACACACACACACACACACATGCACAGTGTGACATGTCCCCCCTGAGCAGCAATGTTCGAACACACAAATACGTAGAACATCGTAGAACTATCAAAGGGTGCCAAAACATGTGGACACACTCTCTCTCTCTCTCTCTCTCTCTCTCTCTTCTTCCCGCCGCGGATAAGTCTGCACGCGGAGGGTTTGTTCTCGCTCTCTTTGCTTTGCTCTGGGGCGTGGAGGGCAGGCAGTCCTCTCCGTCTCTCTCTCTCGCTTGCATGCGGACATGTTCTTGCTCGCACTCAGCCAAGAAGGAGCTCTCCATATTTCTCTCCCAAACTCGACATCCATACCTGAGCCCTAAGCCCTTCGTCATGCTCATGTCTTTCACAAAAGCTGGGGCTCTAGCCAAGACCCAAGCGAATGACCTACTCTTCCCCTCTTCCGGTGCATACACTTCACTGGGGAGTTCACGGGTCGATGCAAGAATCTGAGTCGTTGCTAAAAGCCTCACAGCTCCTCTTGACACACCACAAAGGTCTAACACGAAAGTAGGATGCTTAAGAGACCCTTTTGGATGTCCATGGCCTCGGGACGCCTCAGCTGCAGCGAAAGGCGGAGGAGGAGCTCCAGTCCTGCCTGGCATTCGATGCAGCCGAGGACGATGGCCACAGATACGGTGACCCAGGACGATGAGAGATGCTGCTGGTGCTGATGGCGCTGATGACTCTGCTGATGATGCTGCAAACCACGATGACCCTGGCGACGACATGAACCGTGCTGATGATGCTGACTACGAACATGGTAACAATCATGACGATGATGATAGATAGTCACGATGGCGATGCTGCTGCCATGCTTGCCGTTCGTTGCATTTGCTGTAGTTGCTGCTACTGTTCCGGCTGGCGCAACAAACGTTGCTGTTGCTGCCGTTGCGGCCTGTTGCTGCCTGTGCTGCCTTTGCTGCTGCTGCTGCTGCTGCCGCTGCTGTCAAGAAGCTTCAACCAGTGCGACTGCCCACCTGAGCCTCGGTGTTGGCCTGACAATTCAGAAGTGCAGCTTCCACCAAGGCCGACGTGGTCGGAGCATGTTCTCCATAGTCATGTTACTATGCATGCTAAACCAATGTCCAATCTACACGTCACACCCGAGATTTTATCGACAATTGGCTGCACATGGCTGCCGACACAGTTCAGCTCATGGCACGTAAAGGCGACCACCTTGAGGCTGAGGTGCTGGCACTGCCCTCTGAGGCCAGGGAGAACTCCTGCAGAGTGTACACTAGCTGGGCATGAACCACAATGTCGGAAGACTGCAAGGCAGCCACTGCACCATCTCAGCAGCCAGCTGGAATAGTCACGACTTCCTTCCGAAACTATTGATATTACGGCTAGTGCCCGGTCCAGCACATTCCGGAACGGCTGCCCCAGGCGCTGAAGGAACGCCTCATGAAAAGGACACTATCGGGATCTAGGGAGGCTATTGGATTTCGGCGCTTAGCGATTAGCGTCTGGGTGAATAGGGCTCCTAGGAGTCGGTTAGGTTGGAAGCAAGAGTTCGAGATCCGAATGGCTGCATTATTCGGCCGATTCTGCCAGCTGATTTCATAAGTATGCTTTCTTGCAAAATAGCTGATTTCATCCTATGCTGTCTTGGGAAATGTAGAAGCTTGTGTAACCTGAAGCCTTCGACTGTGAACCCCGAGCCCTGTAGCGTCCAAATGGCAGAAGCCTTCGACTTATTATTAGTATTGCTAGTATTTTATTCGTGTAAGTCTTGTCTTTATGATTAGTATTTGTAGTCTACTAGTATTGCTATGATTGTTATTATAAAACTTCGACGGCTTCGGAGACTTGCCCTCCCGGCCTGGGCCTGCCCGGGTAAGCTGGTGCACCTGAATCGCAGAGAGAGCGTGCAAGGTCACGAGGTTGCGATGTCTGATGGAGAGATTCTAGCAGCTTTTTCGACTCCTTCCATGCAGTGTCGTCCTATCCACGACGTACATTGGCATGGGATAGTCCTGTGGTTCGGTCGGTGCCTTCGAACCCGATAGCAGCCATAAAACGTGAAGCAGACGCTGTATTGCGCCTGTCTTGTGCCAGTTCCATAATGGTAGTACATATGGAGCCTTCTACCCTAAACCCTATAGAACCCATAAAGGAGCCTGTAAAGGAACCCTTAGAGGGATACCTCCACCATCCTCCACTACCTGCAGCCCGTCTCCGAGGCCCGGGCCCCAGGCACAAGGAGTTGTCCCTCCAGCCTTTCCTCGAAAGTTGAAGGAAGTCCTGAACATTTTGGGTGCAGAGTGTAGAACTTCGGATTTTGAAGTGGAACAAGGCCAGCGTACTCATCCGATCCCATCCCCTCTATCTCTCAGAACTTTAATTCTAGGGCCTTGGTTTCGTAATGGCTGCAGACTGCTGTGCTGCTACCCAAAAATGATGGGTGCACGCGTCATGTTCAACGGCAGCCAGCATGCTATGACGCTCCTCCCACCGTGCCCGGGAGATTCCTTCGATGAGGCTGCCTGAACCTTGGGCGGCTGCTCCATCGCTTAGCATGGTCGGAATTCTGGCAGCTTCACGCTACTGAGCAGATGTTGCACGGAAGTCGCAAGATCCTTGAACCGCAGAAGCCCGAACTGCCTCGCCCAAACGAGCGAGATTTGCTGCCTGATGCGCTTCCCTCAGCAATGCTCGGAATCGGACTCGGCGTCTTGATCTCATCTTGTCTGATGCTTTCAAAGACGCGAGACTGGACCTGTCGTCACTCGGGTCCACAGCCAAAGCACGGTGCACAAGATTGAATCAAATCACGTGTGCCACCATTGTCTCGGTTCGGCTTGAAGCGTCTGCTAAGTTGCTGCCACTGAACCTGGTGAACGAGACTTGCAAGTAGCTGAGGCGGAAGCGTCTTGCGGAATGTCTTCCCCTTCATTGATGCCGCGGTTGTTGCTGATGAAATCCTCACAACAACCACGAGCCACCGGAACACAGATTGCTCCCCTGCTGAGAGCTGCTCTGCACTGCACCACATGCCCTGCACACGAGCGCTTTTGCACCCTGGCACCGAGAAGCTGAATTCCTTCTTCCACCAGTGGCCTCGCTCCAGGGTAATAAAGATGACTGCAAGTAGCATCACCATAAGTAAGATCATGCCGCACTGTGGTAGCACGATTTCCACCCCAAAGTACGTACGGCAGTTTGCAAGCACAATGTGGAAACAACATCGAATCTATCTGGCGTATTCCTTCACACCTAACATAAGAACCCCGCTATGTGTCACCACACTGTCTGTCTGGGATCTGTACAATCACTAGTGCTCCTAAGGAGCCCCAAAACACTAACATAAACCCTTACCTCACGTCAACTGACCACGAGAGTTTTTCTGGAATCTATACTGATCTGCAGCCGACTGCGGCAAGATCCTCGACGTGCGGCCCAGGGGCACGCCCCCTCGGAAGAGCGAGACGTGCACAAAGAGGCCCAGAATGCTGGCAGCAGGCCTGGGGGAAGCGTTAAGTTGAACTGTGAATGGGTTATAACCCCAATGCTCCACTCTGTCGAAGCACGAATCCCTGAAAAATCCTGAACATGGCAGTGATACAACACCTGTATCCCCCCTCCTTGCTGGCAAGCTGAGATCTTGCAGCTGAAGTAGAGCCCTCGCAGCCGGAAGGTCGAGCACACCTTGGTCTCACACCATGGCTCATGCTCCGACCCTAGACCCTAAACCGAAATTCTAGACCCTAAAACCCAAACCGTAAACCCCAAATTCTAAGCCCCTCACATGTTTACCCTCGCACCCTCCTCCCACCTCGTCCAGGAACAGGGTTGGCTGAGCTTCCCCAAGCGCTCAGCATCTCTTTTGAGAAGGAGGCCCCGAGGTCAAGAGTGTCCTGAGACATACGACGGGTCTAAGAAGGCCAACAGTGGAGACTGTGGGTGAGGCCCCTGAGGCCCTGAGGCCCTGAGGCCTAGGCCAGCAGCACTGGGCCCTGTCTTGAAGATCCACACCCAGAGCGGCTGGAACGGACAGGCCTGCGAGGTGGCTGCCGTTTGCAGGCTCCGACTTCGCTGTGCATGGAATGAGTTCCGTCGCTCTCTACTAACGCCAGCCCCCATCTAAATCTCAGGTCGTGGCGAAAGCTGGGTGTGAAGAGGCTGCAGCAGCTGCCGCTCAAACGCCTCGCTTCTTTAATCGCAGTGGGCACAATGCGTGATGCGCCCCGCCCGTGGCACCTCACACAAGGCACTGGGGGCCTGGCGATGGCCGATTGCTTGTGGAGCAAGCCCCTTCAAAAGTGCAGTGAAACAAGAGGCGAAGATAAAGGTATACTAGTAGATCTCAGCAGTTCTCCCTCTTCCCCAATTGGCCCCATGTGCCTGAGGGCCAACGCAGAGACATGAGCCACCCGCTCACCGACGATCCGTTCTGGTGCATGTCCGAAGATGTGCAGTCTGAGCGGCCTTCGGAAACGTCGTGGCATGGGCGTTTGCCCCGAAAAACACACTCAAACACAAACCCAGCCTTCTGAGAAGCTCCTGGAAGGTGAATTCACGGAGGACCGTCCACACTGCAGCACCTCGCTCCGTATAAATGCAAAGCAAATCTCCATGAGAGTGGCATTCGGAAGCACTTCTTTGCACCTCGGCCGCTTTCCTCGCAGCTGAACAACGCAGCGGTGAGGCCAACAGCATCCACCCGAAGCTCGGAATGACCTTGCTTCGCAGCACATTCTATCCTTGGAGTTTCCTATCTGCGCGGGGCAGTTCAGGGACCCAGGCGAGCAGACTGAAGCAGGTGAAGTGACCTGGTCCACAGAGAGGCTACCTCGAAGTTGCTGAACAGGCTGTTGATCATGATGGAGTTCGGCTGCAAAAGGCCTCAGCCAAAGGAGATCTGTCTTCACAGACAAGTTTGCAGCTGGCTGTTGCTATTGCGGCTAAGATACTGTCGCCCATGTTTGCGAGCAATGCCACGGCATCTCGCCACATCCTTGCCTTTTCGAAGCAGCTGGTCATCATGCTGCAGGAGGCGAGGCTGGGCAAGCCAGGCATGGTCCTGCGCTGTATAACAGCTCTCGATATGTTGGTAGAGCACGCACAGTGGAGGTACGGCTTGCGAAGGTGAAAGAAAGGCAGCGTACTAAACGGTGGCAGCATGCAGTAGCAAAGCACGGAAGTGAGTTGAGCAGCTATGGAAGTCGAAGACATGGTAGCATGTGCCACGATGCCGTCGAATGCAGACATGTCCACGATGGCTCAATAACTACATCTCACGAGCCAGCTCCCATCAGCATGCAGTTACGACACGTCGGGAAAAGATCCTGCTTACGAATCCGCAACCCCTGATCCGCGCCTGAGCACTGACAGCGCCCTCTCCCAGCAACCACTGCGTAGCCTTGGGCTCTCAATGCCCTTCTCTCTTAGGCGAGGCTTTCGTCTGCGCAGGGGCCTTTCTGGAAACTCCCAAACCCTGAACCCCAACATCCAATCAATACCGAGTACCCCAACACACCACCAAAAAAAAAAAAAAAAAAACTCGAATGAAAATCCTCCCCCCTCCTTGCGTCGCAGCAGCAGGCCGGCCGCCAGGGCTTCAAGTCCCAAGCGGTCCAAGAGCTTGGACCTCGGCGCTCTTGGCGGCTTTTGGGGCAGGGGCCTTAATAGCTGGAATAAGCTTTTGGTGGCATATTATACTAGAATTACGGTATTATACTACAACTACTTGTACGGTAAGGAACCCACCCCCAAGACAGTGTAGGGGGGCCTCTATATGATTGAGATAGGGGGGGAGTTTGGGGCTTCGGCGGCAGCAGGCCTGGGTGGGTTTTAAGGTGTGAGAGGCTTTGGCTTTACATCCTTCGGACGCAAGAGATTCTTGCTGCGACCGTGCCACTCTCTTGACCGTTCCACCAGCTCCAACATGGCGGGCCACTGGCCTCGGCAAGGTTTCTTGAGCTCTGAAACTCTTCAAACCGTCTTCAATTTGCTATGTCACTGTTCCTCAGTACGGACTTGATCTCCCTTGTGCCTCCACTGCGCCCCAAAGCGCGCAGGGCTGCAGTGACAGTGACGGCATTGGGCAGCACCCCGTGGCGAGGCATCTCCTGGTTGGGAGTGAGCTCCAATCCGACCGGGAAGCACAGATCGCGCATCTCACTTTCACAAGTAACACATCAGGTTGAAGATACAAGACACAAGATGTAAGATACACAAAGCATCAGATATATGTAGTATGTACGGAACACGACGTAAGACACCAGACACATAAGATTGAAGGTACAAGATGTAGATAGAAAACAAAGAAATACATTGTGTTGCACGGTGTGTGTCTGTGCGCATGCAGTACGACTGTTGCAAATATGCCAGAGAGTCAATGTCAATGATATACTTTATAGGATACAAAATTTCGCAAATGCGAAACAAAAATGTGGTACATAGCGTCGAATATGTAACATAGTACGATATAGCCTATCGAAATATAGTATCCTATAGTGCAACATAACAATGTACACTGGGAACATTATAGGGTGCAACATAACCTACAAAATACAAGTCCAAATGACATCGCATTACATAACACAGATTAACATGGTGTCGTGTCATGTCATGCATCTTAAACTAGTACAATGTAATGTTCTGAAATAAATAAAAAAAGCGGTATAGCATAAGATACAAGACGTTTCAAACCAATACCATACACTAGCTGTATACATGGACATATCTATACACATACTTATGTCTGTAAGTAAGTAGGTAAGTATTTACCTATATACTTACAGAAAGGTATGCATTATTGTTTATGTATGTACATACATATGTATGCATGCACGCATGTATGCAGGCATGTATGCATGTGTATGCACATGTGTCTGTCTTTGTATTCTACTATACTGCAGCATACAACCTTATAACTTATAACACTAAAAAGCTAAACGATATAGAAAATACATCAATAACTATTACCTAATACTACAATTTAGTATAGTGTCGTGTAACTTTCTGTGATATTATAGATAGGATTCTCCTGCAACAGCGCCAGGACGCGACGCCACTGCGTGGCCCGTTCGTAGGCCCACGCAAGGCTGCTGAAGCCAACCGTGTCCTGTTTTATGCGACCAGGTGATGCTTGGGGGTTTGGGGTTTAGATGGGATCGGGGTATTGCGTTTTGGGGCTTGGGGTATACGGGGTTCAGCTCCCGGGCTCGCTGTTCTGATGATTCTAGGTCTTCTCCTTGTTGTAATTAGCTTGCTGTGCTCACGCTAGTCTTGCCATATTCGCCCTTCTGACACTCTCACTGGTCTAGTTCCACCATGTTGCTCTTTTGTGGTCGTTCTTTGTTATGATTCCTCTGACTCTCCGTTGTTTGATCGGTCGTGGGACTGTCGCGTCGCTTTTCCTACTCTGTGTCTGTGTCGACCATGTTCTCTGTTTACGTTGACGGTTCCTCATACGTTTAGGGTTGAGGGCCTGGGCTTTAGGACAAGAAGGCTGACACACGACGTCGGTAGGTGTGTCTCATCTGACCTGTCCCACATCCTCCCAGAAGTACAGACGGGGGTGGCCTTCTAAAGTCCTTCATCCGTGAGACGCCCACAGAATCTTATGAGGCTCTCGGACCACAGTCCAGGTGCAGACGTGCTGACTTCGCGCGCTGGAACAGTGCCACGGCCTGGACCCGGGCCAAGGCAGCAGATCGAAAAGAGATACACAAAGGAGACTTCTTCACACCAGTTTGCCGCGCCTGCGTCCAGCTGCTGCCCCTCTGCCAGGCTCCCAACACCGCGCTGGTCGCGCGGATGTCCCTTGGACCATTTGCCGGCTTTTGGAGTTTCTCTCAAGATCAAAGCAGCACCCGATCCCAGTGCCGACGAGATGTAGCAAAACTTCGGATCAGCCGAGCAGCAGCCCAAACAAGCTCTCATAGCCCGCGAAGATGCGAACTGCCTCGCACACTGGCAAACATGAACTGCGGAGCATCTACTCTATGCAGGCGCAGATGGGCAGGAATCTCGCAAGCCTGCTGCCACTTCGCTGCTTTTGTAAGCGAGGAAATCTCGCCTGTAAACCTGACAGACTTTCAAAACAGCTTCGGCTGAAACCTCCGTCTAACCTCCCGCACCTTGCAGCATTGCGGGTGGCCAGCACCGCTTGAGACATGCGCTGGACAAGGCACCAGGACTTACGACACTGCGTGTGTTTAGGTTTCTTGAAACTATCACGACAGTTTAAAAGTAAATTTAGGTTCCGTTGCGCTAAGGTCCCTGACGATCTTGAACCACATCTCTCATCTGCAAGGCACTTGAATTTGGCCAAAATCAGCAAAAAGCATCAGCATCATTTTGAAGCCAGTAAGGACAGGAAGTGCGCCCATGGTGCTGCATGAATCCGCTGACAGTCCTTCTGGCTCATCCGCTTCTTCAACTTGGGGTTGTGCTGGTCCTCAGCCCGACAATCCCCAAAAGTTCCTCATCACGCTCAAGAAGTTCCGACAAGCGAAAGTTCAAGTCCCGCTAAGGGCACGACAGAGTTGAGCAGGATCACGCCTTGGCGTCGCTCTTTAAGCAGATGCCGCGGACATGAACTAAGCGAGACAGACTTGCTGCAAAGCTGCTGAAGGCGAACGTGTACGCCGCATCCGGGTGCTTCAGGTAACCTGACCCCTGCGGGAGAAGCGATCGCGCAGAGCAGTTTCCAGTGTAGGTACCGCGAGGAGCATAGTTGAGGGCGGGATCACCATAATTCCGCGAGATACGATCTGTCCAAGTCCAAACCCTCAAACCGTCGATCAGGTCAAGGCCAGCCATCATGAGAGCATCAACTGCACATGGGAGACTACCGTCCGCTCCGCCTCTTTGCCGGAACTGCGGCAGTGCTCCACATGCTTCCGGTAGTATGCATGCGCCTGGGCTCCGGGAATCGAACTCAACTCACAACAATTCCCGGGGAACCCCAGGCCAGACCCGCAGCTTTGGGACCCTCAGAGGCACAAACAACATGTGTTCAGCCCCGTGCAAAGATCCGCAGCACGCGGTCGATCTGCTGCGCCTCCTGTGCACACTCCCGGGGCTTTCATCAAAACCTGTCGCATTTGACAAGGGACATCGAGTCCCGACATGTGACTGGTGGCCTTACCCAGCCAAACTACTCAGACTCACTCTCGACTCAATGCCATCATCAGCAACATCCTGCACAGTCAGGCGTGTGAGCAAATCGCGCCCCTCGTTTCAAGTTCCCTCCTTCGGCAGGAGAAAAGCCTCAAGGAAGCTCCGCAAAGCCTCGCTGCAAGGAAAGCGGCGCTCGCCCCAAGTGCCCCCTCCCCCCGTCCGTATCCCGAGCCCTTAAGGCCTTCTCGATATCTGCTGCTCCCCAATCGAAGGTCTCGGCCTGGGCCGACGGAACTAGCTTGTCAGATCCTGATCCTCACATGCCCCCTTAGGAACGGAGTGACTTAGGTCTCTTCGGTTTCGATGGTGCTACCCGAGTCTAGCAGCTGTGTCCCTGACGAAAGAAGTGACGGCCTTCTCACTGTCCTGTGGCGTGACGTGCTTCCCAAGGTCAGCACACAATGCAGCTGCACAAGCACGGTACACAACGAGATTCATCCATTGATTGCCGTTCCCATCAATACCAAAAGCAGTGAAGGCCTCCTTCGGCTGACCGAAGAACTCGCCGACTGCTGAGTAAGGCACCTCCAAGTACGTAGGATGGGAGATGTGCTTCGAAGCAAGAGCCAAGCGTAACACATCCAGGCTGAAGTGGAAGCACCGCAAAGTTCACGGTCCGGAGCAGCCAAACCAGCTTGAGCACCTCGTGGAGTAACAAAGGGGTCTTTGTTTCCGACTTCGACCGAGAACATTCAAGGAGAAACGGAGCCGATGGAAGCGCAGCGGTGTCTTCGTTGAGTAAGGAGTCTCGAGTCTCGAATTCAAACCCCAGATAGGCAGCATGGAACGGGACTAGTCAAGATGCCCTGGGAGCATGTCTGCACATCACCGAGCACGATTCAAGGAAAACTGGCCCGCAGGGGCCCTGGCCCACTCCTCCGTTCCAGGCTCCCCGGCCGCGAGGCCTGTTTCATGGCTGGTGATCCAAGGCATCTTCGGGTCTGCAGGTGGCTGGCCTCCGACCGGGGGCACCGGAATAGCCTCAGCCAAGCCCGACTTCTCAAAGATCGCTCGTGCCTGTCCGACAGGAAAAAGACAGGCCCTGGTAAGGACAACTGCAAGAGAAGAACGTGGCGAAGCACGCTGCAACCGGCTCCTTCTTTGGGCTCTCCTCGATCTTTCCCATCAGCTCCCACACAGACCGCCGGATCTGCCACCTGAGCTCGAACAAGTGCGATGCTGCGACAATACTATGCTACTACGATTTCCGAAGCTCTAGGCCCCTCCCTTCAGTTGCCTTGAAGTTTGGAACGGACAGGTCCTAAATAAAAGAGACTGGGATGCCCGCTGCTTCTGCAGCCTTTCCAGCTCTGCATTGCTGGCTGCGAGCTTGTCGTCGCCTTGTGCACTGGACGACCCATGATGCTTTGAGATTCAGGCTCGGAGGCATCTCTGGACTGCCACGTTCTGCTCACAGATGCAGAGCTTGGGAGACTTGCATGCGAGGTCAAGTCAACGGAAATGTTTGGCTCCGCACTGTCGGCGGTCTGAGTGTCGCTGATGAATGCAGCAATTGTCTTTGTCAGGACCTGGCTTGATTAGGGACTGCCCGCCCCGCCCGAGAAACTCTCCAAGTGCGACAAGTATGTACGATGCCACGACATGCTCGGACTGCGGCCGCCGAGCAGAGCTGGGACAGGTGGGCCGGCAGGGGCCGTTCGCTGGTTGGCGGCCTGGCGTTCCGCTAAGTAGAGCTCTACACGCAATGGACGGCTGTAACTTTGACATGAAGAAGCTCCCGAATCAAGGCCCTGTCAGGCATCCACAACTGAGGCACTCGATTCAGAAGCACTGGTCTGCTTGCTCCAGGACACCCAAGTCAAGGGCATGGTTCTTGGTGATGTTGCTTTACCAAGACATGCACCAAATTTTTGAAAGCTGCACGAAGCAGTGCCGGCCTTTCGCTGACGAGCTGCACAACTTTGCCGGCTATCTGTCAGGAAAGGCTTCTGCAGCAAGTTTTGGTCTCAATCCAGTCTGGTGGAGCTTTGCAGCTCCGGTATCAGCCAGCAAGACGATGAGGCTGTTTCTACTCCGCTGACACTGAAGACGACACACCTGTTCACATGCAGTTCAGACCGCCTGTTCCAAGAGAGGCGGCCGTCTCCAGTCACCGTCAAAAGAAAACCAAATTGCCTGCACCTGCCAAAGGAATGGGAGTTTCCGAAAAAGAGGTGTACCTTATCTTGGGGTCCCCTATTTTCGGAGACTCCGAACCGGAATTGAAGGCCACCACACGGCCACGGGCAGTTGTGGAGGTGCCAAGGCTGTTCAGAAGCGCAGCAAACCGCAGCTCAAAGCAAGACGCTGTGGCAGTGGCTAAACTCGGCTGGAGCAGGTCGCATAGGGACTCCAGCAACAACCTGAGAAGCAACTAACACAAGGCTCCAACACCAACAGCTGCCGAAGGTCCTAGTGAAGGTGTCTGCACGGACTTCCAGCAGCAGGCTGCTCGGCGCTGAACTACAAAACTGGGACGCGGACTCTAACAACTGCACCGCCTGGCAGGCTTCGGGTTGAAGCGGATTGTGCTACAAGGAGTAGTTGGAAAGAGCCCCATGGAAAAATCAACAAGAACCAGCAACAACCTTGATGCCGTGAACTTGGAGACTGCAGCTGACAAAGGCATATCAAAGCCCGGCTATGGATAGCTCACCGGATGCAGCCCGGAAGCGCAACTCAATTCACTTGTTTTAATAGCGGCTCCCCGAGCCATCTGGGAGCTGCAGCCACATGATGTCAACCTTCCGGAACCTATGTGTGCCACGCCAGCTGTGATATAGCCTGGTTCTCGGAACGTCTGCTACAACTCTGCAACAGCAGGTCCGGGAGCAGATGCCAAACGATTCACGCTTGGAGGCTAGGAGCTTATCCTTTTCCTATTTCAGCACTTGCGGAGTTCGCGAATCTTCCTCTGCCAATCTGGGATGGCATGCTTTGAGAAAACCTCCATTGCTTCTGCAGAAAGCTAGGGAACGTGCATCAGTACACTGGGACTGCTGGCCTCCGGGCAAGGCGGGCGACACTCCCAGGGAAATAACCCTTCCTGGCCGAGTGTTGCCAGTCATGCCGGCAGAACACTGCATCGCGTTCAGGGTCGAACAGGCCAAAACTTCCACGTCCCTGGTGCGGCTCCTCCTTGGCAGACTACCCGGCTTCTTGCGATTCCTTCTCTCTCCCCTCATTCCAAGCACCCCGATAAGGTGGGCGCCCAGAAACGTATAAACCTACGAAAACGATGCCGGCAAACAAGCAACAACTGCTGTCGTCGTTGTTCGGTTGTGGCGGCATCGTTTTCGGAGGTTTGTTCAGTGTCTCGCCAATTTCCGAAGCAATGCCCACCCTGGCATGTAGCAACACCACAAAATCTGATTCTGGAGCCTGGTTCTCCCATTGTGTTTTGGACTGCACGGATCGTCCAAGCCATCATCCTCGTTTTCAACGTCGTGCTCTACCCAGATGAGGGGGGTGCCCGGAAACGTGTTTTCGGTGCTCTTGCTCCAAGCCACCATCCTCATTTCCATCGCCGGCGGCCGGGCGGATTCCAATCAAAGCCTGTCGTGTTGTTGCCCTTGCTGGCATCACCAAGGCAGCATGCGGCCATGCTGGCTTCCGAGGAACGCCTGATTCTGGAGCCCGCCCTTCCTCACTGCGAACTCTCCTCCGAAACTGGCAGTGATGTTTACGCGCTCTCATCTGCCGAACCGTCGTCCTGGGCCGTGTCGGGCCCCTCTCTCTTGGTCTTGAGTGGATGGCTCTTGCAGCTGCACGGCCGCTTTGGTAGACTGCTGCAATTTCCTGGAAAGCTCCTCCAGCTGACGTTGGTCGGACCGTCGCCGCTGCTCCATCACTTCGATGCAGGCATTTGCACAACACAACTCGGCGCTCTGCGTTACCAACTATCGCTGCAGATCAGCATGCTGCCTCGTCCTGATGAGTGGCCCAACTTCGACAAGCCTCGTTCTGGCGGAGGCTGGAGGAACCGGAGTCTGAAACTCCAATGAACCCAGGCTTTCGGAATCTCCGGCAAGTAATGATCTGACGGAGTTGCAGCTGGCACATACAAGTACCTTCGAAGCTGGTTGATGTTATTTGCGCTTCAGCTTCGGTAATCAGTCTGTCCGTCCTCCCAATCCACCGTGCAGTGCAAAATGGATCGGGAGCACGGACAGGAACAAACAACGGCAATGCAACTCCCAGATGAAGCACTGCTGCCTTCAGATCGGGCAGTTGTACGCTAAGATCCTGGTCCGGGCTACAGTTGTGAGTTGCCAAACCAGACCCAATAGCCACTCACGAAGCCATTGGTACGTGCTGGCCACGGCGCGGGCTGCACAGTCATTCCGCAGGGTAACAAGGGTCCAAGAGTAGAGCGCTGCACAGCATGATCCCTGAAAGGGATGAAACGCGCTTGAATCATGTCGCGACGAAACTTAAATCTCGTTAGTTCGGCAACACACGAAGACGGGATTGTACCTGTTACAGTTGCACCACACAGGCAGCCCATCGTCTTAACACAAGTTAGCCTGGCGATGACATACCAGATGTCCAGCATAGAAGATTTCGTGTGATACGCAGAAGCAAGGGAGTGGCCTCCTCAGGCGGCAGACCCTCGTTCGGTGCTTCTGCCAACAGCGCTTTGACCTCAAACATCGGAATCTGTTTCCGCAGCTGGCGATCATGTCTACTTTATCGGCACCCGTACGAACTGCAGGCTTGCAGCAACACACGGCTTAGAGTCCAAAGAGTCTACACTCGAGCACCATCACTCATGGCGAGGAGTTTTCCATCCGATCTCAGCAGTCTAATCCGAATGGATAGGACATTCCGGGCCTGATGCTGTTACAGGCACTCCAGGACGTGAGCATCGTTTAAATAAGCTGTTGTAGCCACCGCATGGGGCTTGCCATGCTTGCCTCTTGTGGGCTGTTAAAAGAGAGACAAAACTGAGCAAGGTGACGAGGCACCCTGCCTAAAGGGAAAACATGGGAGACAGTCCCCCGAGGAGTCAAAAGTGGAATGCAAGACGCCCTTGGCCTTAGTTCGCGTCGATCTTGTTCCACACACCGGACGGAAGGACAATGAACTGCTGCGCAAAATCTTCCATCTTCCAGAGCCTGGTCCGGAGATCGCTGATTTTCTGACTGGCGTCGTTGATGTTGTGAACCAAGGATTCGTAGTCGGCTTGGAGCTGCTTCGCATACTTGTTCTCGTGCTCTTCGATGTCGGGCTTGATGCGGATCACCAAGTTGATCTTCTTGTCCTGTCATGACATGCATGTTTCGAGCTTACGTCAAGTGAGCAGGAAGATGAGCTCACAGCACACCTACAACTGGAGCTGGCTGCTCCTGCAGGAGAATGGTGCTGTTCGGCAGCGTGGGAAACGGAAACGAGCCGTTCGCACGCCAGCGCTCCGGGTGTTCACCGTGTGGGCCATAGGGCGAGGAAGTGATGACGTTTCCGACACCCCAGCGCTTTCGGTCGACAATGGTCTTCAGATTCCACACGACATCCATCTCCTGCAGAAAGGAGTAAACATTAACTCAAACCTCAGCCACCAATGCAACTGTTTGGCACACGGCAGAAAGTAAAGGGAATCACTGAGAGGCACTTAGCAGCACTGCAGTACAAGTTCCTATCAGTTCTTGCACCTCTCGCAGTGAAACTCATCAGAACATTGGGCAGAGCGTATTGCTTGATGAGCCGATTGTAAGCAACCCCCCTCCCCCACTCTGCATCCTTGTTCAGGTAGATCAGGATCTTGTTGATGTAGCGCGCCCTGGGTGGAAGCTCCTGCTTGCGCAGCTCCCTTGGCTCCTGGAATTTTGCGTGCGAAGCCGTTGAGGGTTGCAGCTACGAGCGAATTGCGAGTGTACGATGTGTCACGTGAGGGAAGCCGATGGACAAGAGTAGTCAATAAGACTTTAGGATTCAGCGTCAGACAAGTTGGGATCCTCCTCGGAAAGCTCAGAAAGCCAACGACCAGTGCGGTTCCAGACGACGTCATGGCCCGTGGCGTTTGCAACCATCTGCATCGTGTAGTTGGCGTATCCTTAGCTCTTGCTCCTTGCACCTCTGAGTAGGGTGCCAAGGTTGGTTGTGACATTTCTTGCAAAGTTGGATAAACAGATTTAGTGAGAAGCGCAGTCTCCATCCAGGATTTTCAGGATCTGGTACTCCTGCACTATCGGAGTCTGGAGGGGCTTCAGCAGCTTCTTGAAGTGATTCTTGGTCCGGGTGCTGATGTCCCTCAACCACTTCTCGCTTCGGCCATGATCTTCGACGATGTCCTACGTGAAGACAAGCACTGTTGATGGAGGAAGGACAACCACGGAAAATCACGGAAAGCTACATCAATCCAGCTGAAGATGGGCCAAGGCTCGCCGAAAGGATCACTCTCCTCTGCCTGCCCCCGAAGCTGCTGCTGCTGTCCGCTGCTAAAGGGGTCGGGCTCAAAGAGCACAGGCTCCGCGGCACACAGGTCCGTGACGGTCAAAAGTGAGAGAAGGACTCTGAAGGCCATGGCAGGTTACCCTGTGGGACCTTGTCTGGCCAAATACTAACTACAGGGGCTTCGAAAAATCTTCGGGCCGATGTGAGAAGGCTCCTTTCTTGCGCATCAAGCACCCATGCGCACGTTACGACCCATAAAGCACTCGGGGGCTCGCTGCGAATTCAAGGCTCCGGATGTAGACACCTCGCCATCGGAAGCTAAGGGAGGTCAGGCCATCGCAGGCACATCTCGCGACGCAAGCATGCTGAGCTTGGCACCGGAGAGAAGGGCATCCACCTGAAGCGGACCAGTCATTGGGTTTATTTGCCAGATCTTGCCAGCACTGCACTGCCAGCTTTGCCCTGGAACCCAGGGAGCCATGGGATGGCCTGCAAGGCGCCCAGTGCCGCCGGTGTTGCGACGGCCTCGGCGATGAGACACATGGCTGTGGCCCGCGAATCCACTCTGCCGGGCACGGCACCCGCTCTGCCCAGAAGTCGACGCAAAGCCAGCAGATCCGATTCACAACCTCCGATGCTCTGCTCTCACCAAATCTCTGGTTGCCGACGGCTCCGACGACTTCGACCCCGAGGATGGCACGGGCAGGACCAGGGAGAGAAGCGGAAGACTGCCCGGGAAAAGCTTGCAGAGACCTCCAGCAGACTCCTCCCCGGAAAGGGATGTTGCTGTGACTCAAAATCTTCGGGGATGATTGTGGATGCCACATCGACTGTTTCGAAGCTCCCAGATCTTTGTTGTATGGGCCATGTGCAAGTCGCAGAACTTTTAGGCGCCGGCTCAGCAAGAGCAAGGGAATGTCGTTCTGGAAAAATCGGCCCTACAGCACGATGGGTCCACACTCATTTCTGTTTTAAGCTGTGCTTAAAGGAATTCCGTTCCGTTGCTGTGCCTGGGTGCCATCTCCAAAGGCCCATCGCCGCGACGATGGGTGCATGGCCTCCGGACATAAAGTGAGTCTCTGTACCCGCAAGTGGCCTCAAGGAGCCCTGCGCACTTTCCGCACTTTACACACTGTGCAGCTGCAGTGCAGCCAGATCAATCATGAGTCAGGCAGAATCAGGCTGATGCCGCATCTGACGAGTCGGCAGCTGCTGGGGATGAGGCCAGTCTCTGCAGGCATCTCAGATACCTTGAAGGGCAATGGTGAAAAAACTGACATTCCGCCCTCTGAGGAGCATGGGCGAGGTTACTTTCCTAAGCCTGGGCCGAGGGGCAGCAAGGCTCGCTCGAGGGGCATGCCAGGCCTCGCTTCAAGCGCACAGAAGCAGCGACAAACTCTTTAAAGCAGACAGGGACCTGAAGGTCTCACAGACTTTCCATATACTTGCAGCACGGGGGAGGGCTCGTCGGCAGAAGAGTAGTGATTGGCAGTCTCAAAGCTGTGGGTCCCACTCAGCTTCGGCGGCCATGTTCCCTGGAGATCGAGACCAGTAGGCAGTTGCACAGAGGGGCTGAGAAACTACTCCACGTTCGAAGCCAAGTAAGATACTGAAACACATGTAGGGCTTCTGGTAGGAGAAGTGTCCCAGCCAGCCTAGAACGAGGCGCAAGAAGTCGCATCGAGCCTTGGCTAACAAGACCGGTGCAGAGCCACCGTCGCGTGTGCAGGAGTCCAAGTGGACTTTGCAAACGTGCACACTGTGAGGCTCGCAACGCCGCCTGAATGCCCTCTTGACTTCCGCAGGGTCCAACCTTGCCTTCCCAAACCCAACAACCTGAACTCACATCCCAAACAAACCCTGCAAAGCCCCGTAAAGTCCCAAACCCACAACCTTAAACATCCCACACCCAAACGCAGAATTTTCAAACTCCAAAAGCAAACCTGCCCACCTTCCCTTCCGCTCCACTCCCCCCCCCCCCCACAAAGCCAGCAGTGAGTAGGCCGGGGGCTGGCGAGGCCAAGTCTACAAGGCATGCATCCAAGATCCGCTGCAGGGCGGCCTCTGCGGCTCCAGGGATTTGAGGGTTCTGGTTTCCACAATCATCATCTTCTGATAATTTCTATCAGTAGTATTACGAGTACTATCATTTGCATTCGCAGTGTTGCTGATATTATTGCTGTTACCATTATTATCACCTCTTGCCACTACTGTTCTTATGATATGACATATGATTGTCGTTATCAGTACTAGTGTCGGATTTCGGCAGATATATCGACAAGAGTTATTGGCAATGGCACTACTTTTATTGTTAGTATTCCTACTATCGATATTAATGTCATTCTAACTTACGGTGATTATGCTTATTCTTAACATTACTGCTGTCAGCATTTCTATGAGCAGTATTGCTGTCAGCATTTCTATGAGCAGTGTTAATGGCCTTGCTGTTGGTCTTCCAACTAGTATTACGGCTAGTATTACTACTAGTGGTAGTAGCAGCAGTAGTCGTCGTAGCAGTAGCAGTAGTAGTAGTAGTAGTAGTAGTAGTAGTAGTAGTAGTAGTAGTAGTAGTTGTTGTCGTTGTAGTAGTTGTTGTTGTCGTTGTTGTTGCTGTTGTTGTTGTTGTAAGCATTATAAGACCGTGTGGCTGCTACATGGCTTTGTCAGTGCTTCGTATGTTAACAATCTTCTATACGGTCTTCAGAGACGTTTTATACGCTAGTCTTCAGGGGACCCCCTTAGCTTGATAAAGCTTCCATTCATGCGGATTCAATTTGTGTTTGTGCTTCTGGGGTGTGGGCTCTCGGCGTTTGGAGGATCTTTGGCTTTTAGGGTGTACACGGTGCTTTTTGAAGATGTTAGGACCTCAAGCTTGCACTATTTCCGGCCTGCGCAGACGCCCTCAACATATGTGACTGGCGGTAGTGGCTCCAAACGGCCAGAACCTGCTTGGTGCTCCGCAAGCTTTAGAGACATGATTAAGACAAGGGCAGCAGCCGTGAAAACAATTTGTTGAACAGATCAAGCATTCTGCTCACGAATATTCTCAGTCGCAACTGATACCAGCCATCCGACTGGCCGCTGTCTTCCGGCCTTGCTGAAGGCCCGCACCCGATCCTGCGAAGAAATCAATGCATGCAAAATGAGGCCATGCCTCGAACACTCAAGAGTCACGACGGTCCTCTGTATGCGTAAAGGTTGGAGTCGGAGGATGGAATGAAAATTGCACAAAAAGATGCAGACATTGCCTTCTGAGAAGAAGACGTGTATGCATGCATGCAGGCATGATGTGGACAGAAAGACACAGACAGACAAACAGACAGACGGACGGACGGACAGACAGACCGACAGAAACACAAGCCGGCAGGCCAGGCAGGTAGAGAGACAGCGTGCCCAGACACCCAGCACATGTAGATGCACGGGAATAAACTTCGCCAGATGAAACCCTGTGCAAAACGAAGGAGTGCCAGCCCAATCAAAGCCACCGGTCCTGTGGTGAGAACAGTGCCGAAGCGTCTGCCTGGCTCTGCATCTGAGAACTGGCATCGCTCAAACTTGTTGTAACTCTTCTTGTCTCTACCTATACACACATTTCAGATGTCGGCACACAGATGAAAATGGCTGCCTCTGCAACAGCTGCACAGCTGTCAGTCCTCACTGTGCTTGCACAAAGTCTGCAACTTGCTACGCTGCCACACACTTGTCATCCAAAAAGCGCAGATGCAAACAGTTTGACGTGTATGGCTGCAGGCGCACGAGTCGGATTCCAAGTTCGCGGCGGAAGCGGTGCCGAGCAACAGAGACCTGAAGGATGGCTCTCATTCTTGAGCTGCGGTGTAAAGCCGCAAGTTTAGGGAATCCAGCCCCTGAGGCCCACGACCCAGCAGCGCGACCATTTGTGCGGCAGTGGCCTTCACGGATGTGTGATCCTGTGCTGGACCCTTCCGAAGATCCCGAACTAGGGCCTCATCCGTCTGGGCATTTGTCTCCTGCCACACGTGGAGACCCAGGGTTGAAAGACTCCGAGGTTGCTCAAGCCCGTCCTCAAAGACGCACTCACAGGCGGCTCTGGCCACGTCACACAGCGTGCCTGCTAAAGGCCTCCCGGGATCAACGGAACACCACATGTCACTCTGCAGAATGTAACATACAGCTTTTCTCATACTAGTTATGTAGCCGCTTATTTCAAACGAAGTGGCAACACATACCCACACCGCAACATGAGCAACGGCGCAAAGAGTGCACCTCTGCAGCTCCCCTGTTCCGCTCCTCTGCAACACATCATTCAGCTGATTCGAGCATGCCAGGTACAAATTCGTGGATTTCAGTCCTGTGCTCTTCACAGACGGCCACAACCACGTTGTGGGCAGCCTCTCAGTCTGTGCCAAACGAGAACTCAGGTCCCGAAGCTCGAACGCATCGCCAAGAACGTTCCACCCCAAAAAGCCGCCCAGCCGGAGGCAGACTCCTCCCCACCTCCAGGGCAACAAAGGTTGCGGGCCCACCGAACTCGGCGCTTCGCAGTATGCGCAGCAGAGGCTCCTGGACAACTTACGGACCACCCACCGCTTTGGGAGCATTCAAGCCGAGCCGATGTTCTAGACGAGCGAGTCTTTGAATCTGAAGAAAGCTATCAATATTCGATGATATCGCAAGCCGTGGCTTGGCATATGTCCGTATTGATATGACAGCAGTTCTCACATCGCTCATACCCGATACTGCTGTTCACACGCATAATCGGCCCCACTTTGTATTGATGTCTCCTTTAGATGAAGTGCCGAAGTGCACACGATATTCCTGCACTCGAGTTCCGGGACGGAGACATGATATTCTGCTTGTGTTCTCCGGCTCTGGATGGGAAGCATCCGGAGTTGGGAATCAGGTGTCGGAGGTGCTAGCTTTCAGCTTTGACAACTCCATGAATCTGCATCGTAGCACGCCTGAAACGAGGACGCACAGGCACGCCATTCCCGTCTGCGAGCAAAACCTTCAAGCCTCAATGCAATGGCAAGCCGTCCTATGATATGTTCTCCCCCTCCCCCCTCCAGAAGCAAAACCCTGGTTGGCGGGGCTCCAGAAGCTCAGTCGCACCGCCGGAACCCAGGCGCCAGGTGCAAAGCTGCCGCAGAGGGGAGGCCTCCTAAGACAACGCACGGGGCTTGGCAAAGCATTGTCATGCCATGACGCGAATGTGCTGCACCTGCTACTTCATCGGCTTATCGTATGTATCAAGAACGCAGCACCTGAAGAGTGCACAAACTAATAGATCGGACTGCTCACACTGCACTGGAGCTTGATGCTTGCTCCTAACTCTGCATGCTCTACATTGACCATACCGAAACGGTTACGCACCCTTCCTGTATGGAGTAACAATGAAGATTCTAAGGCGGCACCTCGGGGGCGCAGAAGTTCCCACCTCTTGCTGCCTTATGTAAAGCTAGACCTTTTAATATCGAATCCTCCTCGTTGTGCCAGTCAAAACTTGTTTGCTTAGAACAAGTTCTTTGTCAGCCTCTTCAGACCTTAACACTCGGGACTTCGAGATTGAGGGGCTCTGAACGGTGTTACAGAAGACACTGACAGCAAAGAAAGCCCAGGGCGCATGCAGGAATCCGCAGGAAACTCCGACCTCGTGTCCCCAGGAGCGATTCTGGCTCCAGCGGCGGTTGGCTCTCAGGGCGGTGGTGACTCGCTGAGCCTGGAGTGGAGGCATCTGGTGACTTCAAACCTTGGAGCTGCTTAGAAAGGAAGCTTCTAGTTGCCACTGCGGTTGCCAGATTCTCCGGGCTTCGAGCAGTATAGATGCAAAATGATTCGTTACGGATTCCCTGCAAGCCTTCTGGTCGCGGCTTCAACCTCATCCGTGCACCTGCCTCGCTGCGGCAGACGGCATCCAAATCAGAAGCCATGGCACGAGAAGGGCGGCTTGAACAAGGACTTACAGCACCGACTTGAATTCATCTGCTCGCGACCCAACTCGCTGGCAGACTTTGCGTATGGGGCCTAGCCACGGTGTTGCTTGCACAAGACCGCGCACAGAACTAGGCAGCCCAGCGACTGGTCATGCGCATTGAAACCGTCGCAAGAGTGGGGCTGGGGAACTGCACGAGACGTGTCTACGTCCGGCTTCATGCTGAGGTTTGATGGGGCAGGCTCGCTCAAGCCGCAGATCCTGCTGCGGAGGTCAGATCAAGCTAAGCAGCTAGTCCCAGGCAGTCACAGCATCTCATCGTGCATTGGGCGCTCCGAGTCCTGTCTTTTCGCCCATCGCGCATCGCTGTCGAGCTGTGTGGCTTCTCATAAGATCGGAAACGAGTCTCTGATAGACTATGGATTCCACCTGGCTGACTCTTCGAGTCTGCAAGATGCCAGCGTGTTCGCTGCACACGTGCGTCGGGATCTGGTGCTCGGCAGCGCAGATCAAAAAAACGAAACAATCCGGCGACGCAGGAATGCCAATACCGACCAAGCTTGGAACTGGAAGGACCAACAACTGATGGCCTTCATCTTTTCAGGTTTCTTCGTGTCAAAAGCACAGACACTTCGGGGTCAATTTTGGGTTCAGCTGTCGGCCCCACACGAGACTAACCCCGAGAAGTGACGGCACAAGTCTCCTCTCGGCTGTTATATCCAAACGGTTCATGCCGGTCCTGGCCGTCCTTTGTGCCGTAAGCATGATTGCGTCTTCTGCATGATTCGCGAGAAGGCGTGCTCTTCCGAAAAGAGCTGGACTTGGCAAGTACGGCTACGTCGACCATTCTGACCAGTTCCTCAAGTCCCCCTTACATGTTCGACAGGTCAGGGCCTACCGCTGTTAACCCATACGACCCTAAGCTCAAGATACTTGCCAACACAGAGTTGCAGCAACCTGCAATCAGCGGCCTCTCGGCACTTTCAGAAATAGTGAACTTCGAGCTCAGTGTTGTCTACGTGGGCTTCGTGGCCCGACCATCCGACACAAAAGACTGTAACTTCAAGCTCATCGCCGGCCGTCAAGACCTCCAGCAAAGACAACCCCTTTTTCGTGTCAGGGTCGGTGCCACGACACTCATCCTGGTTGATCGTAAGCTCCACCTCTTCGTTGAAGGGCGTGTTATGATACGCCTTAGCTGTCAAACGCCACACCAAAGCTTTCACACACAATGCCACAAACTCTTGTTGGACAAGTGGAAGCACCCGCCTCAAGTTGCCAGTCAATGGAATGGAGGTGAACATCCAGGCGCCCCGCTCGTTGGGTACTTGCTCTCAGGGCCACTTTGTTGCAGCGAGTGTTTCCCCAACCCTGATCGCGCCACCTGCCGCGTGCAACCACACGAGCGATCCTCCAGCAGTCATCCGGCAACGTAATGTTTGCCAAAATCGCGGCACGCCCCTTGTTCCGGAAGTCCAGATCCACGCGCTCCGATTGCGACACTACGCATCGCTTGAGTGTCCTCAAGGGCAACGTGTTCACCATGTAGTCGTGCATTCGAAGGCTCAACCCCAGCGCGTCTGTGAGGGCATCCAAGGACTCCAGCAGTTCTGCGGATGGGGTGTTGGTGCCGCCAGTGCCGCCTCCGATGGCCGCCATCAGTTGCTCAAAGGTATCTGCGTTGAAGTCCGGCAGGCTGCCCGCCTCCTCAATCGGTTGCATGTTTATGTGCAACTCCCCGACGTCATCGCTGGGTATCAGGAACTTCTGCAAGTTCGGGTCTGCAAGATTGCCCTGATGTCCTCACATTCATGCTAGATCTTGAGCAGACCCCCGCTAGTCAGATATAGGCTTCTCCTTGTTTTAGCATTTTAGCATGCCAAATCAACAGTATAGCAGCGAACCTTGCATTGCCGTGATTCTGGAAAAGACGTTTGTGGTCTTTGGACATGCAGGAAGTCCGCGATTAATTACAACTTCAAGTTGCTCTGCCTGTGGGTGCGATGGAAAAGCTTCTGTGTTTCTACTTCCTTGATTAAAACAGTCTTCCGAATTCGTTGTGTGCTCGGGACCGCAGTCCACCGCAGGAGCGAGCGAAATCGGTAAGAAAAGCCGAATCGTGTTCACTTGGCTCACATATAGCCGATTTCCGATGGTGAAGCACGGAATACAAACGACGGAAGGCCATTCAGCTAGGCATTCTCCGGTCAAGCAGCTCGGCACACTATCAGTCACAGCACAGGTACACTCACGGAAAAGCCTGAAAGCAGCCCGGCCGGGTCCTAGAGGGAACCTCGCAGAGGAAGTAAGCTTCTCACGGAAGATCCCGAAGCACTCCAGAATGGAAACTGAAACATGGACCTTGATGGGAAAACCGGACAGACCGAGGTTGATGTTTCAATGTGTGTAGACTGTTAACTTGATGATGGGAAGAGGTGTCAGCCTACATAATGACATACACCCAGGCTGCGAGCTGCACCAGCAAGCTTACACCCAGCCTTTCGCCCTTTGAAGTGAACAGTGGCCATCTTCGCACTGTTCTTTAAGGCATCCTCTACCCATAGGATAGCGGTGCTCACCTGCTGGTCTTGGGCTCTTTTCGCGAAGTCCTGCATGCCGCAAGCTGCAAACTGCTGCACAGAGTGCATGTTTGACAAGCAGGACAAACAAACCCTGAAGGTCCTGAATGCCGCCGGCAAGGCAAACAAGGGTCTGTGCCTGTGCCACCTTCAACTCCCTGTCATGCTGCGTGGATGCATCCCTCTCGGCATCTCGGAAAAAATCCAATGCCAGCTGCTGCATATCTCCACGCCACTCAGATGTGACTTGAATACGGGGATGTGTCAAAAACACAGCCAGCATGCTCACGTCCTTTATGCGAAGCGCCGCCTCCAAGGGTAGCTCCAAAGCGCTCCTGACACTAAGGTTCTCTTCGTAAATCTTGTCTGCCACTCTGTCCTCCTCAGATAACTGCGCTGGGGTTAGAGGAGCATCGTAATCCAGGAGTAGCTCGCAGATTCTCGCACTTTTCTCAGTGACAGCTTCTGTGAGAAGCATAGCTCCTCTGGCAGTGAGGCCCACTGTGCGTGTGCCCGCATGCAAGAGAGCACGAGCAGCTTCCACATTCCGGACCTTCGCGAACTGCTGCAGCAACTCGTTTGCATTTGCCTGCTGGGACTCCTGGATCTGGTTTTGTCTCCAGGCCGTGAGGCCAGAGTTGTACAAGATGGACTCCCAAGGAACCTCATAGCGCTCTCCACTCATGGCAACCTTTACCTTGGAGCCGAAGCTCTGCTGAAGGTGCAAGATATCCTCCAGCTTCAAGAGGGCAATTGAAGGTCCAAACTCAACACTGTGCATCTTGTCTTCTGGAGGATTGAGTTGTGAAATGATCTCCAGGAACCGCCACCAAGTGCCCTGGCTGAACTGGAAGCTCATGGTAAAGCGCCCACAAGGGGTGTCCCGGCCCAAGTCTCCAAATTTGAAAAGTGCGGGCTCTCTGGATGCTAGCAGCAACTCGCAAAACGGAACCCAACCCAGGCGCCCTGTCAAGCACGTGATGGAATAGTGCATCAACGACTCTCCGCAGGATTGGGCTTCCAACCAAACAATGCAGGAGGTGACCAGCGCATGACAAACTGCAAAGCACAGCGAGGCCAAGAGCTGGTTCGTCCTTAGCAGGACCGGTCTTTGTGAGATTGGATACTCACGGAAAACCAACAGGCTTCTAAAGCTGTCTTGTTTCGTCCGTTCCCGAAGTCCCAAGCTAGCTGAATAAACACCGAGCATCGAGATGTCCAAAGCATCAGCATTTCCCTCTGCGGCCAGGATCCGTACCTGGAGAGCGATCTGCGGGAATGACTCGAAAACAAGCTGCGACATGGTCCTCAAGCGTCTGTAGCCTTCGATGTCCATTGTTGTGAGCCCAAGGCGGGTGGACAGAAACTTGTCGACGGCGCCATCTAGGAAAGAGTCGCGCATCCTACCCTGCGTCATAGCACCCTTAACAATCAATGCAACATCCACCGTCAATGCCTTCACAGAGTAAACGATGTCAATGAGAATGAAAAGTCCAACACAGAGCGGCGTCATGCAAATCAGCGCTGCCGCTGCCCGCAGAGTTGCATGGGACTGTGGCTTCCCTGTGTTGTCGGTTGGTTCGAAGATGCGACTCCGCATGGCAAGGCGAAGAGTAGCTGAGAAAGCCACAAGATACGGCGCCACCATCATCATAATCGACAAGCTTGTCCACCAAACATTGTGGCCCAGAAACAACCTCATTGTTGGCAATGCGGCTGTGTGAGCAACACAGAATCTAAGATGACATGCCTCATGCACTGCCGGCTGTGCCGACAACATTTTATGTAGCAGGCAGACTCTTTCAACATCACTGACGTTTGAAACAGACAGTGTGCCGCCTCGTGCCAGACACTCATACACTCAAATATTCAGACCCTCACTGAACCCGACGTGCTAAACACCCCTGTGCCCTAATGACTTATAACCCTGAACCTGAACACCTCAAAGCCCGAAAGTGCCTGAGTGTTGGGATGTCTGCGTGTCTGCTAGGCTGCTAGGTGTGACTGTTGCCCGAGGCGTTGATTTAGGATCTGATCTCTCTGCACATCATCCCCCGACACGGAAAGAACTGCCGTGCTTAAGGATCAATGGGAATGAGGAACCACCAGCAAAAGCAAGCCCTTCGACAGGTCTGTTATCTTTGAATATTACCTGTCAAAGCTTCGCGACACCTCTACAGACTGACTCGACAAAAAATCAAGTTTGTCGAGCCGCAGCCTCACCAACAACAAGTCAGTCACAAAATCCGCGGAGGAGACGATCTCCAAAGCGCAGGTGATGCTTTGAACCAAAAGCTTCATCCTCGCCTCTGAAGGACGCACGCTAGCTTTGGCGAAGGCCTGCGGACGAAGTGCAAGAGACTTGCAGTGAAAAGATGGCCACGCCGCATCAGAAACACCAGACGCACAAGTCCAGCCTTGTGAAATTAAAGCCCACTCCCAACAACAGTTAATCGCCTTCAAGACCCGCCCAGAAGGCCTGGCGTGCGAGGAGAACACGCCTCTTCGGCCGCCTCTCTGCACCTCAAGCTTTGCATTTTCCCAAGTCAAAAACCCTGCGTGGAGGCTTCCAACATCTTCGAACCCGGACCCTCACGCTATCGCCTCTGAGTGCACCGATCTGCACGTTATTAACAAAACGAGTTGAAGCCCTTCTTTCGAGACACGCCCAGCTTGTGACTGCACCGTCGGCAACGAAGTGTTTGAAGAGGGCTTCATCTCGTACCTCCCTTGCCATTGCAAGTTCCCGCACTCTCGGAGCAACCTCCACCTATCATCATCGGGAGCCCAACCACTGTCCACGCTGATTGCACTGGGCAAGACATCTTGACCCAAGAGGCACACTCCCATCGCGGTGTCGATGTGAATGTCGAAATCACAACCTTCATCGTTGTGGTAAGTCAAGGCAGCTTGCTCCACGTCAAAGCAGTAAGTAGTCCACTCCGTAGGCAAAATGATCTCATCCAACAGTGTGAGGTTGCAGACTTCCCTGCCCTTGTCGTCCTGGAACAAGACGCTGGCGGAGAAACGGCGCCCAGGTGTTGAACCCCTGACGCCGAATTCCAGGAGCCGTTTAGAGGTGGCTTCTTCTCGTCGATCGGGCAGTGCCATCACATACTTGGCTCGCCAATGCAAGTTACCGTTCCCTTGGAGCCACCTCCATCTTGGGTTGTTCCGATCCCAACCTACTCCAGGAATTTCAGCATTTGGCAAGACGTTCTGACCAAGGAGGCGGACTCCAACTGCCGCATTGAGGTGGATGTTGTGCTCGGGACCCTCGTCGTTGTGATATTCGAGAACAGCCTGCGCGACGTAGACGCAATACTTTCTCCATTCCACGGGCAACTGATCTCGTTTTGCAACCTGTGCTCTGACGGATACACCGTTACCCAGTGCGCCGATCTCCGCCGAGAACTCTCTACCCGGCTTGCTGCCTCTGACGCGGAAGTCCAGCAATTTGGTGCCACCTGCGAATCACAAGAAGGAGTCGGATTTGTAGCTATTGCAACTCACGGCGGTGCAGAGCCTTTATGACTTCCTGACATGACAATACATTAGTTCACGGTTTCGGAGGCCTCCAGCACCACGCAGAGGACCCGCCTTCCCCACTGTTGCCAAACAAATTTAAATACCGCAGGCCACAAGCATGACAACTTTGCTGAGAAGTTGTCCTAAGTCCTGTTCCTTGACAGGTGCGTGCGTGTGTGCGTGTGTGCGTGTGTGCGTGTGTGCGTGCGTGCGTGCGTGTGTGCGTGTGTGCGTGTGTGCGTGTGTGCGTGTGTGCGTGTGTGCGCGTGTGCGCGTGTGCGCGTGTGCGCGTGTGCGCGTGTGCGCGTGTGCGCTTGTGCGCTTGTGCGCTTGTGCGTGTGTGCGTGTGTGCGTGTGTGCGTGTGTGCGTGTGTGCGTGTTTGCGTGTGTGCGTGTGTGCGTGTGTGCGTGTGTGCGTGTGTGCGTGTGCGCGTGTGCGTGTGTGCGTGTGTGCGTGTGTGCGTGTGTGCGTGTGTGCGCGTGTGCGCGTGTGCGCTTGTGCGTGTGTGCGTGTGCGCGTGTGTGCGTGTGTGCGTGTGTGCGTGTGTGCGTGTGTGCGTGTGTGCGTGTGTGCGTGTGTGCGTGTGTGCGTGTGTGCGTGTGTGCGTGTGTGCGTGTGCGTGTGTGCGTGTGTGCGTGTGTGCGTGTGTGCGTGTGTGCGTGTGTGCGTGTGTGCGTGTGTGCGTGTGTGCGTGTGTGCGTGTGTGTGTGTGCTGTGTGTGTGTGCGTGTGTGTGCGGTGTGCGTGTGTGCGTGTGTGCGTGTGTGCGTGTGTGCGTGTGTGCGTGTGTGTGCGTGTGTGTGTGTGCGTGTGTGTGTGTGTGTGTGGGGTGTGGGTGTGTGTGGTGTGTGTGGGTGTGTGGGTGTGTGGGTGTGTGGGTGTGTGGGTGTGTGGGTGTGTGGGTGTGTGGGTGTGTGGGTGTGTGGGTGTGTGGGTGTGTGGGTGTGTGGGTGTGTGTGTGTGTGTGTGTGTGTGTGTGTGTGTGTGTGTGTGTGTGTGTGTGTGTGTGTGTGTGTGTGTGTGTGAACCTCCCTAGCACATGGGAGCAGAGGGTCACTCCTACACTGTTTGCAATTTCGCTTTTCAACATAATCCGGCATTGGACATTTACCAAATCAACTGTTGCAGGGGGGCAGGACATCTTTAGCAGTGCCTGCCCAACGAAGAGGCTGCTAAGAGATGCTGATGCGACAGAGGACGCTCTGTTGTGTACCTGCAAAACACAGCTGAGGCCCCTGAGCCAGCAAGATTAGAAGGCCCCTGTGCCAAGATTAGAGAGTTTTCAGTTGCCACTTTTGGTGGTTGATTTGACAACAAACAAGTTGTACGGTTGCCACAATCTGACAAACTTTTGCAACATGAACAACATGCCTCTCTTTTTCCTCTTGCACTCGTACTCGTGGCCGAATCCATCAGTGTGATCAGCGTGGGTCGATGAGACTCCAGAGCAACGGCTTTCCGTCATGGCGCCGTGGTGACCCTCCGGGGAGACCGGTGATGAACCGGGTGTTCAGCCTTCGTTCAGATCGTTCAGAATCTCCAGATGCTACTTTATCTCTCTCTCTCTGATGCTCGCATGTGAGTCTGACATGAGTGCAGGTGCAGTAAGGGGACGGCTAATGCAGTAAAGTGCGTCTAGTGAGCAGGTGCTACCTCTCTAGTCTGCCCCGTATTTTACCGCTTCTTTATTCCTCAGGGACTGCAAGGGCATGTGCATCTGACATGAGTGCAGACGTGGTAACGGTGTCTACAGCAAGTGAAACAGCGCTCTCTTCGGAGAGTACTCGGCCCTCTTCCTTCTCTCCGTCTACGACCTCTCAAATCAGTCCAGCAGGGACAATCAGGACAGCCTGCACTTTGCTTGTGCAACTGTGTTTGTTTCACCCACTTCGTTGCAGCTATGTGGCCGGATTATTTTGCCGCGCAGCCACCAGCAACACCATATGCACCAACAGCCCGACCGGTGCTGAATCAATTTCACCCGAACACCTGGGTACCGCAGTCACAAAGCTACCCAGCAATGATGCCAACTGGCATTGCTGCCACTCAGCAGCCCACACTGCCGACACAACCCACTACGATTCCTGTCGAGCAGACGCACGGCTTCCCCATGATGCCGTGTGGACACACTGCCCCTATTACACAGCATCCGACGGTCTATACACATCTCAGCACACCACAACCCCAGATGCCACAACAACCTCCACCCCAGCAATTCATGTCACAACACCCCCCCCCGTTCTTGAACCCTGCTCTTTTGCCTACCCATCCAACAGTTTTTCCCACGAGCCCATCTACTCTGACACCGCATCAGCCCCAGCCTACCACATACAACCTTCCTTTTACACCACCTGCTCCACAACCCCAACCTGCACCTTGCAACATCCCGTCCACACAACCCACTCAACAACCCCACATACCGACGCCAACAACACTCCAACAAGCTCCATAACTTCACCCCATCAGTGTTCCCACTACCGATGCTGTACACACTGCCCCGCAGACACCGGCAATGACTCCCCAACAACAACCAACAAACACAGCCAACACCCCTTCCGCCAGCACAGTGCCACCCACACAACCACCCCCGGCTACGGGATCGGCAGACACTGACCAGTTCGCAGCACGTACTTCTCCCCACCACCCTCCGTTACCACGCAGGCGACGGTGCTCACCCACACGCAGCAGAACTCGCACCGTGAGCACTAGACGCCGACGACACACACGCAGCAGAGCACGACCTGCAAGCAGCGGCAGACAACACCGCCGACGCAGACACCACCGATCCCGCGACACTCGCAGAAGCCGCTCTCGCAGGGACACCAGGCGATCTTCACCGACACCTCCCCGGACCTCGGTTGTGCTCCGCAGCTATTCTACAGTGCGTGATGATGATGCCAACAAGTGGCATTACAGAGCCACACAGCCACGTCAGAGGCCACCTACCCCACCCAAGGTCCCACAAAGGACATTGGCCTCGCAGGTTCAGCGAATCGCCCTTCGCATCAAGGGCAACCAAGCAGCACAACAGCAGCCCCCAACAGGCCAGGGCACATCCTCTCGCCAACAGTTTCAGCACAATCCCCCCAGCTCTATTCGGACACCTGCCCCGACTTTTGATGCATCCACAACTGCTGCCCCATCGGGTCAACCAACCCTCGAACAACTGGGCAAACAGAGCAGACCACCACAGATTGATGTGACGCCTTTCTCTGAGCTTTACGATCATGAAAAGCCGACCCCCCACGCTGTCGACATGGAGGAAGCACATAAACTCGCCAAAACCTTGGGCGAGATAGCTGCTGACAGCGATTTCAGGCAGGAGACTTTAGCCGAATTTGCACATGCCGTGCTACAGTCGGGCACGCGATCAGCGTGCAACGAACTGGGGGCAACGCTGACGCCAATATCGGACGGCGTACATACTATGTTATTCATCCCGTGGGCTGGAGAGACTCGCAGAGCATTCGGCACTCGTGCCACCGACCCACCAGGGGAAACATACATCTACACCGCCGGACACGGCACGAGCATTGCAAGTGCCGCGCGCATAATGCGCGAGGACTTGGTCCGCCCAAGTTCAGTCAGCCATTGCTTCGACGACAAGTCCTATCCACCCATTCCCTCTTGCGTCATATACGGGAATGCGACCCCAGGAGATGTATCGGAAAGCACGGTACATATAGTTACCGATCAATGTACACGGCGGCCCAAGGGCCAACAGGGAGTGATCGTCATCGGGACAATACGGACTAAGTATCAGCATTACAAGATGACGTATCGGGACATGTACAGAGAAGCCTTCATCGTGGGGCGAAAGGGTGTCGTGCGGACCCCAGAGAAGTGGGGATTCCACTCGGGGCACTTCAGCATCGTTGGATTCGGCCTCATTCAGTGATGTTGCTTTCTTCTTTTTTTTTCCATGTCTTCCTTTAACTATCCAGTACATTTTCTTCCAGGCCTGAATCCCGGTACGCATAGCTGTTTGCAATCAAGCATTTGCTCCGACCCCGCTTTTGAGCCAAAGAAGAGTCGATGCAGCTGCATGCTGGATGCATCGCACAAGTTGATGCTGACACTCAAGCCAACCATGTTGTTCATGCATGTTCCATGTGCAGCTTTTGCAGTCACAGGCAATCGTAGTGCCCCATTGTGCAACCATGTACAAGCCGACACAGCCCCAGTGGCATACAACAATGCCAACAGGCATCATCGGTACAGCAATCAGTACGGTGCAGCGACAAACAACCTCGACCAGTAGCACCCCAATGCACCCGATCTCCCCGCCACCAGGGATTCACAACATTCCACCACACACCTTACCCCTAACCCCGACTACTTGGGGTTCAGCTCACACTTACAGCCACAACACCACTTTCCCACCTTTCCCTCCACCCCCTCCCCCACCTCAGCAGTTTCCCGGCCCAACACCACCCACCACACTGCCAACCCCCACACATGCCACTCCCCAACACACATTTGTGAGTCCATCTTCGATGACGACTCCAAACCCCAGCATTTCTTCACATACATTACCTCAGGCCACCGTCACACCCCAACAACAACAACACCCCAATCCCATGCCTACAAATCCCCAGATACCAAACGACTTCGTTCAAACACCAGAGCATTGGGACAACAGGCAGCTTTTTGGCCTCAACCTACCCAAACACATTCAATCTACACCACATTCAGTGCACAACCGCACGGCAGGCATGCCAATCGCAACAGCACCATTGGTCGCATTTCTGCGACACAATTGGTCCTCGTACTGGCTACGGTACGCCGCACACGGCTTCGACATCCATCTCACATGCAGCAAACACATCAGCGAAGCCGTCTTTACCACTGAACTTATGGGTCAACTCCGAGCAAGGAGAATTGATCTCGACCAAGCGGCCACCGCATTCTGCTGGCAAGAAAAGCTCACACTCGCAAA